AAATGGCAATTGGAAAAAATGACCCAGGATAATGGTGTCGGACGTAATGGCCGGGAGAGGGTGGCCTGGTCTGGGGAGGTAGAGATTTAATGGTTGTTACGTCACTCCTCTGTAAAATAGGTACCGCGGTACTTATTTAACGGGGGTACCTATTTAACATGGGTACTTATTTAATGAAGGTGTTTATTTAATGGGATACTTATTTAATGGGGTAATTATTTAATGTAGTACTTATTTAACGGGATACTTATTTAATGGGGTAATTATTTAATGTAGTACTTATTTAATTGGATACTTATTTAATGGGGTAATTATTTAATGCAGTACTTATTTAACGGGATACTTATTTAATGCAGTACATATAATTGGGTACTTATTTAACGGGTACTTATTTAACGGGTACTTATTTAACGGGTACTTATTTAATGGGGTACTTATTTAATGGGGTACTTATTTAATGGGGTACTTATTTAATGGGGTACTTGTATAACACCGTAATTATATAACCAAGGTAGTCAGTGAGTGTTGGAGGCAATGGCGTTAACTAAACTGTGAAGATTTATATTTATTTTCATTATTTTTCTACCTCCTCTTCCTCCAACTTCAAATTTAGCTCCTCCTCCTCCTCCTCTTCCTCTTCCTCCAACTTTAATTTCAGGTCGTCCTTCAACTTCAACTCCTACTCCTTCTCCAACAACTCCTCCTCTTCCTCCAACTACTTCTTCTCCTCCTCCTCCTCCTCCTCTCCTCCTCTATCTGCTTCCCTTCCCTTCTCCCTCTTCCTCCCATCTCCTCCTCTCCTTTCCTTCCTTTCCTTCTTTAACCATCTCATTTTACCTGTCTCTTCCTCCCATATTCCTTCCTTCCCATCTCCTCTCCTCTCTCTCTTTCCTGCCTCCCCCTTCTGATCTTATTCGTTGTCACTTCCCTTCTTTCTTCCTTCCCTCCCTTCCCGCCCTCTCTTCCTTCCCTTCTTTTCCTTCCTTCTCCTCTCCCTCTATCTAGCTCCCCTTCCTGTCACCCTGTTTCCTTCCCTCTCACCTCCCCCTTCCACTAACATCGCATAGGAGAGGGAGGAAAGGAGCCAGCGCTTCCCTCCCTTTTCCCTTTACCATTTTGCCTTCCCTTCTTCGCTTCTTCGTCCTCTATCTCTGTTTCTTCCTCTTCCTTCTGATATTCTCGCTGTCTTCCCACCCATTTCTCCCTCCCATCATCTCTTTCTCTCCTTCTTTCCCCTCCTCTCTCTTCCTCTTCTCTACTTCTTTCCCCTCTCGCTTCATCTTTATTATTTCCCATCTTCCCTCCCATCATCACTTCTTTTTCCCCCCTCTTCTTTCCTCTTCTATCTTATCTCTCCTCTTCCTTCCCTCTCATCTACCCCGTCCGTTCGTGCAGCGATATTACCCCCTATAAATAATAAAGCTTATGAGGCCGTAATTAATGTTGGCTGTTCCCTTGATATTTATCTCTCTCTCTCTCTCTCTCTCTCTCTCTCTCTCTCTCTCTCTCTCTCTCTCTCTCTCTCTCTCTCTCTCTCTCTCTCTCTCTCTCAGGCGACAGTAGTAACCTCCATAAGTTGTTTTTGGCACGTCTCTATCCGCCTTGTTTATTTCCGTCACCTGACTAGCCTGACGGGTATGTGACGGCTCATTTGACGGCCAGGTAGGTAGACGGACGGAGAGACACTCAGACCTATAGACGGACAGACGGTAGAGATAGGACAAGAAGTATGAGGGCCTCGGAGAATGGGGAGATGGGAGAGATTAATAAGACTAAGAGACTAGGAGATGGTATGTACCTGATATGTGGTAGGTGATTGAGACTGAGTGGGAGAGATAGTAAGAGTAAGTGGGAGAATTGAGTGGGGGAGTGAGTGTGAGAGAGTGAGTGGAAGAGTGAGAGAGACTGAATGAGAGAGAGTGAGTGGGTGGGAGAGTAAGAGTAAGTGGGAGAATTGAGTGGGGGAGTGAGTGTGAGAGAGTGAGTGGAAGAGTGAGAGAGACTGAATGAGAGAGAGTGAGTGGGTGGGAGAGTAAAGGTGAGTGAGTGGACGAATGAGTGGGAAAGTGTCCAACCAAATATGCCCTCATCTGTATTGGTTAGGTTAGGTTAAGGTGGCGCTAGGTTAGGTAGGGTTAACTTAATATAACCTAACCTAACCTAATCCTTTCCCCCAGATAGCATTAGGTCGATTAATCTTCAGGTGAAATAACTAGGTGGGGGAGGGGGGCTAATCTTCACGTGATCCAGTTTGTATTTTGAGCTGATATGAGGATTGTGAGTTAAAGAAGAGACACAATAAATATACATTCGTGTTTATGTTACTTCTTATGGTCAATAGAATTGGTATAAGTGAATGGGCATAGCCTTGTAAGTGACTGGTAGTATGGTAATCAAGGAAAATAAGTGTCATTAAGTAAAAGGCCAGTCTTAAGTGTTTATAAGTGGTGGTTTTATGAGTGTGAATAAACCAACATGATTAAAAATGAATGAATAAATGAATAAAGTGTTTGGTAGTATGTATGTTGAGGAATTTTAGTGCACTTTTTTTATTTTGGATAGTCCGGACTTTCGGATAATCCGGATTTTCGGCTAATCCGGACTTTCGGCTAATCCGGACTTTCTGCTAATCCGGACTTTCTGCTAATCCGGACTTTCGGCTATTCGGGTAATCCGGATCCCCTTCCCCTAATTAGTCCGGATGACCAATGGGTTCATTGTAACAAAGAGTAGAAGGCCAGTCTGGAGTGCATATGTGTGATGGTATTACAGCGATGAATGAACCAGCATGAGTAAAAAAAAATAGTGAATGGTCGAGTAAGTAATTCTTGTGTGGTCATAAGAGTAACTCAAACCATATGGAGAATGAATGACTGAGGGGGAGAGAAGAATTCCCCCTAAAGATTGTAATCTGATCTACTACCACTTGAGGAAGGAGGAGGAGTAGTAGTAGGACCTTGACCACCTCAGCTAACCACTTGGCTAAACTGTTTTGTATTTATTATCTCGCAAAGTGATGTTGTTAGAATCCACAAACAGGTTCATGAGTCTTGGTGTTTACGAAGAGATGACCTGTGTGTGTTTTGATCACTTGAAGATTTTATTTAGTACCGACAGAAATTCGATTTTTTTTATTAGTATCGACAGAAATTCGAGTTCTTTATTTAATATCGACAGAAATACGATTTTTTTTATTTAGTACCGACAGAAATACGATTTTCTTTATTTACAATTATTTAGTACCGACGGAAATAAGTTTAATTCATATAATACCAACATAAATACGAGTTCTTCATTCAATACCGACAGAAATACGAGTCTTATACCTGATACCCGACAGAAATGTAATATCTCCGAACCTCAAGAGCTCTGAACCTATCTTACTAAGGAACCTGCTACGATACAGTGATCATCGTAGGTGTGTGTGTGTGTGTGTTGGATGGATCTCTCTGGCGCCCGAAGACTCCATCCAGCTCGATCATGTTGAAGTTCTGTGGCAGCGGCAGACGACCTCGAGGTGTTGATGTAAGTTCATTGATGGAATTTTGATTTTTTATGATTTAAATTTTTTGGGGGGGATTTGTTGATGTTTTGGGGGATTTGTTGATGTTTAGGGGGATTTGTTGATGTTTGGGGGATTTGTTGATGTTTTAGGGGGATTTGTTGATGTTTTGGGGGATTTGTTGATGTTTTGGGGGATTTGTTGATGTTTTGGGGATTTATTGTCGGATTTATTGATATTTTTGGGTGGATTTATTGAGTTAAAATCTATTATAATCTTAAACGTGAGTAATGTTGAGTATGGATGGATGGATGGATAGATAGATAATATATATTGTAATGTGATTGGATCGACAGACAGACAGACAGACACATAGGCAGACAGGCCATAAACAGACAGACAGGCCATAGACAGACAGACAGACCATATAACTAATTCAATCTGATGACTTGTTCAATAAACTCAGATGTTTGCGCTGGGCCAATCCACAGCACAGTCGCCTCTGTTGACCATGGCAGTCTCTGGGGAGGTGGGGGGATGCCGTGATACTAGCCAATACTTGCATTTTTAGCTAGAGACCTTTGAGGTGTTTGTCAGAGGCCGCAGGGGGGGGGGGAGGTTGGGGACGTGTGGTATAAGGGTAGATTTTACTGTGTATTCTTATGGGGATGTGACCTTATAGTTAGTTTGATTATTAATGTGTGTGTGTGTGTGTGTGTGTGTGTGTGTGTGTGTGTGTGTGTGTGTGTGTGTGTGTGTGTGGTCTCTGTAATGCGTTATCCGTGTTGGGTTATTGAAGGTGGTGGGGGTAGAGAGGGGTGAGGGGTTGCTGGGGGCACAGTGAGGGGGGACAGGTGAGGGAGGGAACAGGTGGGGATAAGGACCAGGTGAGGGGGTGAGGGAAGGAACAGGTAGGAAGAGTACAGGTGAGGGAGGAAACAGGTAGGAAGAAGATAGGTGAGGGAGGAAACAGGTAGGAAGAGTACAGGTGAGGGAAGGAACAGGTAGGAAGAAGACAGGTAAGGGAGGGAACAGGTGAGGTAAGGGTAATTTTCCTTTGTAATTATTATAGAGAGACGATAAGGTAGTTTGTATTTGCTTTTTATGTATTGTTACAACTATCAGCTGTATCTTGTATTCTGTCATTGTGTTGTTTGTGTGTTTGTATGTGTTTGTCCGTTTGCTTTGATGTGTGTTTGTGTTTGTTTCATGTGTGTATGCTTCGTATGTGTGTTTGTGTATGTTTTGATAACAGTGAGGAATTAAACTGATATACACCTGTGCTTAGTTTCATCAGTATATGTTTAATTATTAACATTTTATCTAATTGTATTTTGTTGTATTTCTGTCTTTGTATTCCGTATGTGGTGTATTTTAACCTATGTCTACTTTTATTATTATTATTATTATTATTATTATTATTATTATTATTATTATTATTATTATTGTTACCACCTCACCCTTCTCCTCACCCTCATCTCTCTCTCTCTCTCTACAGGTCACCTCGACAGGGAAGGCGGGCGGCGCGGGCGTGCGGGCGGGGTGTGTGGTGAAGGGCATTAACGGCACGCCCACGGCCCAGCTCTCGCTCTCCCACGCCCACGCCCTCACCAAGCAGGGCTCCACACTCACCCTCGAGATTGACGAGTGAGTACTGATATATCACCTGTCTATAGTATAAGCTGTCTACCTGTCTTATTACGAGTTGTTTACCTGTCTTACGAGCTGTTTACCTGTCTTATTACGAGTTGTTTACTTGGCATTTTCCGATCGGTTGACCTCTCTATGTCATTAGCTTTCTAGCCTCGAGCCATCTACCTATCCATTACTATCTCTCTACCTGTGTGTTACAAGTTATCTATCCATCCACCACCTCCCATCTACCTGTCAATGACTATATCTACCTGTCATTTACAATCTACCTGTCGTTACTCCCCGTTATTGCTGTCACTTGCGTTATTATCCTCTTCTTTCTCCCCTTCCTTTGTTATTGCTTTCATACGCTGTTATTTACCTGGAAATAATTACACATTTATGTGAGGTATTACCACCTACCTGTAATTTATGGTGTCGCCAGGCCGTTATGGGTAATTATTAAAGGTGTTATGGGAGAGAGAGAGAGAGAGAGAGGGAGAGAGAGAGAGAGTGTGTGAGAGAGAGAGTGTGTGTGTGTGTGTGTGTGTGTGTGTGTGTGTGTGTGTGTGTGTGTGTACATGCTCATAGACTACACACATAGATTTTCCCTAGAGTCTGAATGAAAATGTGACGCCATTTTGAAAACTAAATTAAAAAATAAATAAAATAAATAAAAACTGAACTAAAACAAATAAAAAAGTAAATACAAAATATATATAAAAAATGAAAATTATTGAATAAAAAAAATGATAAATTAAATCAAAGAATAAAAAATGATAATAGAAATAATGAAAAAATAATAAAATAATAGGAATAGAAATTAAATACATAAGTAAAATTAGAAAATATATAATAAAATAGTCCAAAACAAGATTTCAAATATAAAAGAAAACAGAAAAAAAGAGAAAAAAAAGAAAAAAAAGAAAAATGGATTATAGAGAATAGTATTGGTGAGGGAGGGGATGAGGGGAGGGGGGTGCGGGGGAGGGGATGAGGGGAGGGAGGTGCGGGGAGGGGATGAGGGGGGAGTGCGGGGAGGGGATGAGGGGGAGGGGGGTGCAGGGAGGGATGAGGGGATGCCCAGGGGGAGGGATGAGGGGAGGGTGCAGAGGGAGGAGATGAGGGGGTCTGGGGGAGGGATGGGGGGGTGCAGGGAGGATAAGGGGGTGCAGGAGGGATGAGGGGAGGGAGGTGCGGGGAGGGGATGAGGGGGGAGTGCGGGGAGGGGATGAGGGGGAGGGGTTCAACTGCCTCCTAGCCTAGGAATGGAGGGTTTTCGGTTTGGGGTATGAGGCTTTTACGGGGCTTTTAAGACGACCTTTCTCGGAGGGAAACCTTGATATCTTCCTCCTCCTCCTTCTTCCCCTTCCCCCTCACCCCTTCCTTCCTTATCCTCTCACCTCCCAACTCCCCTTACCTTAATCTCCCTTCGCCCTCCTTCCCACTCACCCCCTTGCTCCCTCATCCTCTCACCTCTCCTCCCCCTTTGCCCCCACCCCTCCCTACGCCCTCTCTCCCTCACTCTCTTGCTTCCTCAACCCCTCACCTCCTCACCCTTCTTGCCTGCCTACTGCCTCACCCCTTAGCCTCCTCCCCAAAGCAGTACCTTGCGAGGTATTCTGCCCTCATCATCTTCAGGTCATTGCGTGACCTACATCTCTTCAGGAGGGTGTGTACCATCTCTTGGGAGGGTGGTGGCACCACTCTCTTCAGGAGGTCGTGGCCTGCATCTCTTCAGGAGGTGGTGGCACATCTCTCCAGAGGTCGTGGCTGCATCTCTTGGAGGTCGTGGCCTGCATCTCCTCAGGAGGTGTGGCTGTCCCTTCAGGAGGTCGTGGCCTGCATCTCTTCAGGAGGTCAGGGAGGTCGGCTGGCTCTCAGCATATGCTGCAAACCTAGCTACATTCACTAAGTGTCTTTACTAAAGTAGAAGGGATCGCCAGGCACTTTTAAACTCGTACTGGCGCTGGAAACAAGGAGGCGTATGAGGAAGAAACTTAAGCAAGGACTTATCCTCTACCTCTCTCTCTCTCTCTCTCTCTCTCTCTCTCTCTCTCTCTCTCTCTCTCTCTCAGCTTCAGCAACAAGGAGAAAGGATAGTATTAGTGGTGACTACTATATGACTCAGTGTATATGCAGGGTTTCACACACACACACACACCACCTGTACCTGCTCTTTGTGCCAGTGACTAGACCACCACTGCCCACCAGCTGAAGCGTCACCACCTGTTTGGGTCAGTACAGTGACACCCCAGCAGCTGGTAGTCACTAGACGAAAAAGATGAGACAAAGAGGTGTACGTGAGTCATTTAGTGAGTCTATTAGTGTGTGTGTGTGTGTGTGTGTGTGTGTGTGTTTGTTTGTGTGTGTGAGTGTGTGGTTTTCCACGTTCTCACACGGTGTCTGGACCTTCTCCAATATGTAATCATTATCTCCCTGGGTGTGTCAACCTGTATTCAAGGTGCCCCTGTTACACCTCCGTCTCACCTGGTGCTTCTTACCTGTAAACACTAGGCCCTTAATAACATGTCTTTATAATAATGATATTAATAATAATAATAACAATGGTAACAATGATAACAACAACAACAATAATCATAATAATAGTTATTTGTTCGTTATATAAGGGCCAGAGAGGGATAGGATATCACGTTTTGTTATCCAATGTGTAGGTGAACACACACACACACACACATTGGGATAGCTTTCTGCCTCCCCTCACCTGTGTAAAGCCAGTGGAAACCTTGTAGATCTGCATATTGACCCGACAACCAGTGTGGGTTAACAATTTGTTGTGTTGGGAGCAGTGTGTGTTTAGTGTTTATGGACAGTGTGTGTGCGGCGGGTAGTGTGTGGCGGGGCAGTGTGGCAGTGTTTGGAGGGCAGTGTGTGTATGGCGGGTCAGAGGTGTGTATGGTGGGCAGTGTGGTGCGTGGCGGGTAGGTTTATGGGCAGTGGTGTGTGGCGGTCAGGAGTGTGTATGGTGGGTCAGAGTCGGGTCAGAGGTGTGTATGGCGGGTCAGAGTGTGTGTATGGCGGGTCAGAGCGTGTGTATGGCGGGGCAGTGTATGGCGGGGCAGTGTGTGGCGGGGCAGTCGCTGGCACACACTACGGCTATTTTTGCCAGGAGAGTCTGGCCTGAGAGCCGCGTGGCGTGGCTACCTCCGCCTCGGGGTTTCACTTCTCTCACGCTAGTTTTTATTTACCTTATTCGTGTTTATGTTTGTCTTCCTCCTGCAGGTTAGCTTCGTGTGGTTGTGGTTGTGTGGGGTGTAGGGGGTGGGAGGGAAGGTTGGGGTGCTAGTGTCGGGGTGGTCAGGTCTTGGTTAGGTCAGGGTGAAGGACGAGAAGGGGGAGGTAGTATACACGCCGATGCTCTCTTTAGTTGACCGAAAGTTAGGGGGTGTGGTGAGGCGGCCAGCACAGCGGCAGTGTGTGAAGGTGTTTTGGCACTTGGGTTCTCCGGCGGTTGGCTGACGGGGAGTGAGTGCCTGGTGGTAGTGTCTGCCCGCTGGTGCTCTGGTCTCTCTCACTCTTTTTCTCTCCCTTCTCCCTCCTGCTCCTACCTGCTCCCGTTTCGTCACATCACCTGTTCGGGTTTACCGCCTCCCACGGCACACCTGTGGCTCATCTTCTTCAGTATTGTACCACGACACTTGTTCCTTTCTCTACGGCATCGCTTCCTTCTTCAGTCGTGACCTGCGAGTGAACGAGTGAGGTAAGTACCAGGCAGGGGCAGGACCTCCCCACACGTGTTGGTCTCGGCCAGTGCCAGCAGTACCCTGAGTGCCCCGACTTTAAATGTCTGGCGAGTGTACAAACACAGCAACTTACTGGTGACAACACCGACCATTATACCAGTGCCAGTAGCAAGTGCCAGTGCCCTTGTGGTCGCAGGAGGGTGAGCACCGTCGGGATCCTACTGTACTTCGTCCCTCCCTCCGTCAGTCTGCCGCTCAAGTGTCGCGACCTGCAGTGATTCACACGGGGTTGTTTAACGATCATTAACGAGGTTGTACCGGAATGAGGGTGGAAGTGGTCTAGACACTGGAGGTAAACGACTATTAACGAGTTTTGTGTGTCTGAACAATACCAGGAGTGATTCGGTCGTCGCTGTTAAACGATCGTTAAGGAGAGTTCTAGTGGCCGCGGGGAGGTGTTCGGTAGTGCTTCTTGCTTGACCTGGTATCCAGCGTTACCCGGGCTGTGAACACCATCAAGTTAACGAAAAGTACTCTTCATGACCTCTCGTTAAGAAAAGTAGTAACTAGCCATAGTGATAGATGTACTTGACAGTATATAGAGAGTACTTATTATAGCACGAAGCTAGTCGAGCACACAGTACCCCCACATAAATGATCCTTCACTCATTAAAGACCCTCTCTGAGGGGTCATAACTAGCCTGAGGTAACTACTAATTGGCAGTAACAGAGCTTAGAGTGATTGGTGTAACTAGCCATTAGGAGTAACCCAAGACAAGCCGTGGAGTGCTTCACTAACTAAGGAATGTGCGGGGCACCCATACCCAGCCGAGTCTTGCCACATTAATGAGGGCTTGTGTGTGTAGCATGTGTGTCCGGGTGCAACACCTGCATGACCCGGGCAACACCTGTATGACCCGCCGATGCACCTGAGGTGGAGCCGAGCATGGAAATCTCGAGGAGTCTGCCACTGATGTGCACCGTCAGTAGTGAACTCCTCGTGCAGAAAGCGTTTGGGTAGGTCGTGATGGTGCACGTGTTGTGTTGGGGTGTGTCAGCTGACGTGTTTAGTGCATGTGATGATGACGTGTATTGAGCATGTGACAGAAAGTAGCTACTGGGACTTGTCATTAGTGTTTTATAAGGACAAGAATAAAGAACTTTTGACCCACTTAAAATATTTCTGCTTATATTCATTTTTCTGTTTCATAATGTTGAATTAAATTGCACAAACATTTAATGGAAATTTGAAATATGGAAATGGAATTTTAAACGCACACACACACACACACACACACACACACACACACA